AATATTTATATTTGCTTACTTATATATATATATATATGTGTGTGTGAGTGTGTGTGTTTATATATTTGTATATACAACTAAATATATGATAGTTTTAGATTGATATACTCATGTAGCGAAGTATTTGTATACTCATATGGATGTACAATAAACATACAGAAATATATATATATATCTGTATATGTGTGTATATATTATGTTTATTTATCTTTATATATTTTTGTAATATATATATATATATATTTATATATATTTATATATATATATATATATATATACATATATATATATTTATATATATATATGCATTTGCATTCATTTATATTTATATATATTTATATATATTTATATATATATATATATATGCATTTGCATTCATTTATATCTACTTCTGTTCATTTCTTGTCTCGCGCTTCGTTATCGAATCTATATACATATAATGTTTGTATTCGTTTTTCTGAACGTGCGTGTAATTCTGTCCATAGTTGTATTTGTTCGTTTGTTATTTTCCTGGACATAGAGCTTTGAAGTGGTATATTTATTCATACATTACTTATTAGCGTTCGTAATTTGATGGCGACAAACTTGTATGTCTTTTGATATTCTGACCTAACTCAGTATCGTTATCGTTCTGCAGTGTACCAGTTTGCTCATTTTAACGTACATATCTCAATCCATACAGCACTTAAAATAGAGCCGACATTTGTGCCACAAAGTAATGGTGTGAAAACCAAGGAAGGCGATAACATCGAGATGCACTACAAGGGTTCTCTAACGGATGGTATGTGGTGCCATATTCTGCAGTTTTTGCATTGGTGAGCATTATTGTGGTTATGATCAGGTTGATATTGTATGTTAGCCATCAAGGGTTGTTTCATTGACAATACCCTTATAATTCGCCGCGGGACTTGCGCTGGATGTATGTGTTCGTATTCACAAGTTTTATATACTCACACACACACATATATATATATATATATATATATATTCAATTATATACGTTTATATATACACGTATATGAATATATATATATATATATGTAAATGTATGTAAATGTATATATATATATATATAAACTTGTATACTTAAATACCCATTCCCCGTTGCCTTGGGCCCACTTGGTCCGTGGAGTCTCTTTAAGTCATTCTTCGACATAACAATCATTTGTAAATTAAAGTACGAAAGTTGCATTAACCGTTTTTTTCCTGATTGGTAATTTATTTTGCGGTTAGGTACCGAATTTGACCAGAGCTACAAGAGAGGTTCCCCTCTGCCTTTCCAATTAGGCGCCGGGCAAGTTATCGCGGGTTGGGATCAGGGTTTGTTAGACATGGTATGCGCAAGTGATATTGGTTTAGTGTATCAAATCGCAACTAAAGCCAAGTCGTGAATGAGTCGAAATTCTTATTTTTGTTGGTACCAGTATATATCCGATGGTGTACGTCTTTAAATAACAGTGCACGTATTGTCTCTACGATAATACCTATCTTGTCACTCAATTATGTAGTCTGTTTCGCTCACTAATCTTATCGGTAATGATACATCGAGGCTGTCTTCGTTTCTTACATGGTAATTTCCTGTGACGTATGTGGAATACTACCTATTATCTAGATACCACTAGATTTTGTTTCTAATTGACTATGAGAGTCCCGCAATGTATTCCAATACTATGTGATCATCGCCAAAAGTACCTGGCGTGGGCGACACTATGACATCCAATACACACAATACCAGGTATTGACACAGCATTTAAATTTACACAAAGCTATGCAATCTAATAGTTGTATTTCGTGTAATTCTTTGTAGGTACTCATTCGTTTATTGCAGCTATTCAAAACCCCTATATATAGCACTCCGAATACGCGTACTGGTGCTATCCTAATTGTTTTTTTTTAATTGTACATTATTCGTCGACTTATTTATGCATTGTATGGTACTTTGAATTCTGTCCTCTTTGATCTGACCACCTTGCACAGAAAATTGGAGAGAAGCGAACTTTGACCATACCAAGCGACCTGGCGTACGGCGACCAAGGCTTCCCTGGAGTCATTCCGCCAGGTGTGTTTCCGGAAATTGGATTGAACTAAAACATATACCATGTTAAAAAATTAACTATATCTGTATCTTTAGCGTGTAGTTGGCGCTTCTGTTCAAAGTGATCGCCTATTCTTGTATGAATTCTCACTATGAGGAAGTACGGTGGGTCTTTGTGCAGGTAATAGTTTAATATAGTGCTATACACCCATCAAAATGATATCAAACGTGCGTTAATTCGGTTTTACTTCAGCACCTTCCCCGGGGCCCTCCTGAAGAGGCTGGATCGTATCGCGAAACTACTGTTCTAGTTCTTATGTTTTTAGTTGTGGTACATTTGACGCCCATGCAATTACATAATCTCATCCCCGTATTCCTCTATTTACCACCACCTTGCATCTAGGAGCTACACTCGTGTTCGAGACCGAACTCGTCTCCATCAATAGCCACAAGGAGTAGACGAATCTCTGGAGATAAACATCAAATGTATCGGATATCTCCCAATTGCCAGACATCAAACACGATTGGCAAATTTTGAGGAATTAGAATTGGGAATACACCTTTATTAAAATCGGCACAAATTACCGACCCATTTTTTCTGCTGTATACACCCTTCTATTAGGATTTATTTATCTGAGTGCTAATATGGATAACCTTGCATAGCCCAGAAGGGTCGCCATATGCGCTGATATACCGGAACACCCAATTTGTAAGATTGCGTGCGAGAGTTTTTTTAAAGTCAGTGTGCCATAGCCTTCTATCTACTTCAGGAGGGCTAAGAGTGTGCACATAAATCTCATTTTGTACTGTCTAGTCGTACATTCGTTAGTGTTAGATTGATTTTGGTACTATACTTGTTATGCATGAGGAAGACTTGACTCATTAAACACTATATAAATTGGTATAATTTGATTTTTGCATTCTTAATCGCGAATAGCTGTGTTCGTCAGCAACCATTCGAGCCGACCATGTAGCCTCATGTGTGTTTGGGTTGTATCCCATAGCTACACCCTGCTTCTTGTATACCGCTGCTGTGACCCTGGCATACAGCTACGCGTGGACGCAATTACTTATGTTCGACTATAGGCAAGCACGCTATAGCGAAAAATTTAATGTACAGCGGCCTCCTTTATACTAGCAAAACCTAAGCCAAGCATAAGTATGAATGCTCAGCAGCATTCGGAAAGGTCTCGTTACCATATCTACTATCTGAATTGAGTCAATCTTTTCGCAGCGACACAGTCAGATAACTGCTGTGAGAACTCAGCCATAGCTACTTATGTGTCTACACACGACTGCGCACATACTTACAAATGTTCCTTTGCTACCCCCACACATATGATCACATATGATTTGTGTGCGCGATATTTCGTCTTGGCCTTAAACATGTGACCATGACTCATCAATCCCGGGTCAGTGTGCTCGCAGCATGACAGCCACACTTGTGTTGTACTTCATACACACGCACTCGCTCATCTACAAAAACGCGTGCAACCCCTTATACAGTAGTGACCTTGACGCGGATGTGTATCCGTAAGTATTCTCGATATGTAGACAGCCCATACGATCGACATTATCTACAGCGATGGGTTCATCCGTTCATGCAGCTTCAGGTGCGTCCTGTGGTCTCTCGGTGTGGTGAATATCTTGCCACAGACCACCCCCGCATCCACCCATTCACACCGGACAACATTGTGGTGGCTCTCATGCTCGAGCTTGCTTTGGATAGTACTAAATTGACGATCACAGCCCGCTGTGCACTTGTAAGTCGTTTTTGGTTTTCCCCTCTGACTATTTGTGTCTAGCGCTGCTGTGGGCTTCTGTGCTGGCCTACCTTTGCCAGACCCCGTACCTCCACTTGCTGTCATCCGTGCTCGCCACTCTCTACTAGCCGAAGTGCTTGCAGTTGCTCGTTTCCCTTTGCCAGACACTTTACTTCCACTTGCTGTTTCCCGTGGTGACTTCCCTTTGCCATACCCTGTACTTCCACTTGTTAGATCCTCAGCTGGCGTGGTAATATTTGGCGCTGATTCTCGATCGTCTTCGGTGTGGATGCTCGAGCTTGTATGTGGTTCCGATTCCTCTCGACTTGTACTCGCGTATCGAATGGGTACCGAACTGTGTGGCGTTTGATTGAAGCTGTGGTCCCATTTGCTTTTATATGTAACGGTTCTGGCACCATACCTACAGAGAAGATTGTAACATAAAGATCAATAATGATGCAATAGGGTACGCTTACAACTATGATTCGAGTACACCAACAAACACGTATTGCGAGACAGATACCTGAGATAAACATAGTAGATACAAAGAAGAAACGTTACAAATACGACAAATGACCTTCAAGATAGGATTTGACGGGCGGCACAGTTGATTCTAAGCGCCGTGTGCATTGAAGAGTGAGCAAACAGATGTATTGCAAGTACGAGTCAGGTATGGGGCACTCAAACGGATGATATGCAGTTCAATATCTGCAGGTGTGGAACACGAATAAAACATACTACAGTCAAAAGAAAATTTTGGAAAGATACCTGTGGTAGGCTTATCCTATATAGTTGTCAATGCGGGGAATATAGGCATGAAATTGAATTTCAAAAAATCAAAGGGCAAGGTATATATATACACTAATATATACGCACACTTACACATAAACATACAAATACATACACACACACCTATATATATGAATATACACACACACACACAT